GAGAAATATTAATATTTATTTTAACTTTTGTAAGAGTCATTAATAAGGGCATTTTGTCACAATTTAAGCTGAAAAGTACCTTGGGTGGTTAGTGAGAAAAAAAAGTATTGTGGCATAATGGGTGTGAGAGACTTTGAATGGGAGGCATCGTGCTAAGAACTTTCAACTTGGGGGGAGGGGGGGGGGGGGGGAATTAGTAATTTTCTCGAGAAATAAAAATTTAATTTAAAATAATGATGGAAGCTTACATGCTAAGCTCTTAATTTCTCTGGTGAAACTAGGACTCAGAAAACCATTGATATGACAGCTTTGAATAAAACACCATCTGACTTCTATTTATAGGCTAAAATGTACCTTGACCTACAAGAAACCCTAATTCTAAGGTGCAATGACCTAATTAAATCTTGTATGATATGACACTTTTACCCCAGATATAATAAATGACTCATATTGACCATGTCTATTTCCCAAACTGCCTCTAAAAACCTATAAAACTGAAAAAGCCCTAAAAATAAACCCCAACTACCAAAATTGCATCTCTGAAATAATATAAAAAATCAACTTTAGGAATCAGCTTGTCTTGTATCAGATCTCCCTGGTTGAAGAATACTCATCTTCGAGTTTTGAAATGGGCTAAAATGAACCGCTGCATAAAATCTACAATATTCTCCAATTCTAGGAGTATTGGTCGTAGTTAGAAGTTCTCAAGAAACAAATCTCAAGGTATATTGAGGAATTAATTTAAAGATATCAAAATTCAACTATCCTTGAACTTGCACTAATAAATTCTAAGAAATCAACTTTTTAGGTGTTTTTCAACCAAGTTCCCTAGACAAAACCGGCGACGCAGGTTTTGGGGCTATAGGCCTCAAGCTATCATTGCCAAAAGGGGTGATGGTAGCGATTATGATACCGAGTGAAAAGTTATGGCTTCTAGAAGTAGCAATATTAGAAAATTGCCTACATCTAGCACCTAAATCCTTATATCAAGAAAAATATTGTCAATTACGTAGTGGACACCTTCTGTGGCAAACTCGCTTGCAGAGAGTCCGCCTTTTAGCTTTTCCGGTTTGGGATGTTCCCTTCATTTCCATTGCGAACTTCTGACCCGTTGTGTGAGCTTGCTTCTCTGTCTCTTTCTTGGATTCGTTTTCAGGAGTCTTGCCTAGCATCCTTGATTTCTTAGCTTGCAACTTGATGATCATCCTCGATCATAAGCTTCCACAGCCCTTGATTGTTTTGCGACTGTCATGATGCCTAGAGTCTGCCAACTTGCAATAGGGGCAATTCTTTTTACTTGATTGGGAAAGAGATTGGGTACGAAACTCAAACCTTACTATTAGAGCATCACCCACTGCCATCTCCATTGAAGCTTTCAGCCCTTCTTCTTGTCCTTCATTGAAGTCTGGTTCACCGACGAGATGTAGTTTTCTCTAATGTTGGCAGGATTATACCCATGGTTGAACCAGTAAGGGCATCAGTTTGGTCAGACCGGTTGGGTTCACTGGTTGAACTGGTCATAAATGGGGGAAAAATTCTCCAGAAAATACAGTAAATCTAAAAGATAGAGAGAAGTATGGAAAATTCATAAAAAACTTGGAAACATATAAAATTTTTAGAAATTATCAGGAATAAAAGTAAAATTATAACACACCATATGTCACCTATAATTCCATACCTCATGGTGGACTCCACTGAGCGATCAAGCAATACCAATGAAAATGAACTAAGGAAATAATGAACTATTGATACTTTAAGGGGACAGGTCAAAACATGAAGTTAGAAGACCTCAGCTCCACATCAAAATAGAAATTAAGCAAGCTCCAAAAAAATGGAAAAAAAAGAAAGAAAGAAAAACGATTATTAAACAACCCAAATAAAATAAGACAAGTAATTCTGTTGCAGGCAGTTTAGCAAAGGAAGCAGCTCTTCAAACACGAGGTTCTAGTTTGTCATCTTAATTTTCTCCTCTCTTCTCTTTACTCTATCTTCTCCCACTCCCCTCCCCCAACACAAAAAAAAAAAAAATACAGTTACTGCTCTTTTAGTCTATTTTTTCTCCCCTCAATCTCTATCTTCTTTTTCTTCCAGATATTTCTCTTCTTAATTCCTCCTTTCTCGCTCTTACATCCTTTTCGTTTGCTATGATGCAACCCTCTCCCCCACTCGGGCCCAATCTCATCTCTGGCTTCTATCTTCTGCCTCTAATCTATCTTATTGTTTCCTCTGCTTCTTATTCTTTCTCTTCCCCCATCTCCACATCTCTTGCATCCCCTTCTCTTAGTTTTAGCTACACTTCTTTCCGGAAGGCCTGCAGACAGTTACCTCTAGTCTGGTTTTACTTCCGCTTTACTTAGCTGGAGTCCTCCACCTCGCTCCCAGGGATGAAGCCACCCCAAGAGCGCCTTAGTACTCACTGCTCCGATGCCCACCCTACTCCCCCCAGTCTTCCAGGTTCAGTTTCCTCTTCCCACAGTTTATGGAAGACCCTCTGTAGGGTCCTTTGTGCTGGATACCAGATTCGAAGAGGAACAAGTCAGCCCAAGATCATTTTAAACTCTCGCTAATATGCTTGCTTACACTTGGTCTTTCTGCTATTCTGAAGACCCCCATGCAGAAGCTTTGACCTTTGGTTGGTCAATTTTTGTAAGTGACCTTTGGCTGGTCCAATGTTTTGACTGTCACCCTTGGTTGGTCCAATTTTTTGTGACTGTAATTAAGTTCATTCTTCTTTCTCTGTAATTGTTCTAAATTTTCTTCTCCTCTTTCTCCCTCCTTTGACTTTGATACTCTGAGCATCCACTTGTGGGATGTCTTTTTTGCACTTAATGTAATTTTGGTTTTAATCAATACAAAGTCAACAATGCTCAAAAAAATAAGATAAGCGATTTAAATTAGCCAGGCTAAGACAAAATATATGGAATGCAAATTTAACAATAATTAGGAGTAGCAATGATGAAGTAGTTAAGATTGATGATCAAGAAATATCTAAAAGAGATTGTTTTCGATATCTAGGGTCAATAATCTAGGAGAATTGCGCGATTGAGGAAGATGTTGTAGATAGAAATAGAGTTGAGTGGACGAAGTGGTCATGTGCATCCTGAGTTTTATGTGATCGCCGCATACCATTAATATTGAAGGGGAAGTTCTATAGGACGACTGTAAGACCAGCCATGCTTTATGGGACGGAATGTCGGGCTGTCAAGTAACAATATATCCATAGGATGAGCATAGTTGAGATGAAGTTGTTGAGATGGATGAGTGGCAAGACAAAAAATTATACAACTCCAAATGGATATATACGAGGAAACTTAGATTTGGCTTCAATAGGCAGGAAGATGCAGGAAAGCAACCTTAGATGGGTTAGCTATGTGTAGCGTAGATATAATATAATACCGGTTAGAAGGTGCAATTTGGTTCTAGTGGAAGGCTAAAAGGGCAAAGGGAAGACCAAAAAGGACATGGGTAAAAGTAGTGAGAAAAGATACCGTGACATTTGGTCTTACTAAGTGTATGATCCTTGATAGAAAAGAATGGAGGAAAATGATTTATGTAGTCGACCCCAATTAATTGGAATAAGGCTTGGATGAAGATGATGAATTGAAAATAAAAAACCAAAAGCCAAAATTTTAACTATTAAAGTCAAAATGAAAAGAAAATGAATGCAAGAAACAACCCAATGTGATTATTTGGTAAAAACAAGTTCATTATTTGTAGAAGCCTTGAAAAACTGAAAATATTTCCCTTTTACTTTTATAAAAAATTTAAAACAAATGAGACAAAGAATAAATCAAATGGACTTAGTTGGGGTTCAAAACTTTGATTATATGTCCCGAAAGCCATTAGATGGTCGCCCAAATCTTAGGTTTTTTCGATGGAGAGAGTGACTGAGAAAATGGCCAAACCCCTTTCTCTCTCTTTCTAAAAAACTGCTTTTTAACATTTAAAAACTCAGCCAAGTGTTTAATCTTACCAAAAAGCCCCTCCTCAAAACTCAAAGCGAATAGCCTTTCATTATGGAGCACACCATTGCTTGGGTAAAATTGAACTTTGATGGCAGTTCCATGAGAACATTGCTTAAAGGTAGAGGGGTTAGAAGAGTGGTGAGAAACTCCAAAGGAGAGGTTATTCTCTCATTATCAGGAGCCTTGAAACTGTGCCAAGGTAATGAGGTAGACCTGCATGCTTTATTGATAGGTATGCGAAACCTGAAACCACTCTGGACCTTTCTTTTGGTTGAAGAAGACTCAAATGAATGTCATCACATGGGCCAAGAAGAAACAGATTGCTGGTGGAGCGTGACAATCTTCGAAGGAAGGAACCTTTTGCTTACATCTTAAAGTCACTCTTGGGGATGACATGGTTATCAGCTAACCAAATTATGTATTTAGCCAGGATATAGATGTATAGACGTGCTTTTTGTAATTTCGACAGCATAATATATGTTCTTTGATAGACTTCAATAACATTGAGTTATTCCTCAAAAAGAAGAAATAAAAAAAGGTGTCCATGACTTTGGCATGATGGAGTGAGCTCTCTGGTATGCATCCAAAGTTCCTCCCACATGAAAACCAATGGAAACCCAAATTTTCCAACCAAAACTAGAAAAAACAGAAATCGTGCTTTTGATGACTTTCAGGTTGCTTGGTGTCAACAAAGAGCTTTGTTATATAGACTTGAACAAAGGACTCGCAAGTCACATGGTGCATGGACTTGAGTAGCTGCATTGTGTTTTCTGCGTCATGGAATTTTGATTGTTTGACCCTGTAGCTAATGGTGAGACCATTGGCTGATTGGGATTATCTTTGGTTTGGCATTTCTGTTAGTGAGGCCCTTAGTGTTGTAGAAGAGGAAGTGCGGTCTTACAAGAAACTCTCTACAAGTTTGAACTTGTTTTGAGACTGAAACCTGCATGTCTGACATGCTTTCTAGAGCTGTGGGGTTTTAATGTGATTTGTCATTCAAGTATTTATATACAATTGTTGCCAATACTTCTACAGGCCTTTGCACAGTTATTGCAAGCTCCTCAGGATGATGCTCGCTTGATTATCAAAGAGCGGTTTCCTGTCCCGAGGTTGGTTATCTGTGATCAGCATGGTTCCCAGGTTTGTAATCTCTCTCTCTCTCTCGATGGATCGCCGTATATATATATATCTGACAACTACAGTCAACGGCCCATATTAAATTTAGGCCCAATCCAATGGTCACGATCTCATTTTGTATTTGAATTTTCATATTTTTATACAAATCTAATTCACTTGAAATTTTGATTATCTCATTAAAAAAATAGTAGAATCTAATAAACATATAAAAAAAATAATTCAAAAAATATAAATTGATCAAAATACCTCCGAAACTTTTCGGGGGTATTTTGGTCAATTTATATTTTACGATTTTTTTTTTATATATATTTTTATTAAGTGCCCCTTGATGAGTAAAATATACGTCTAAATTTTCAAGTGATTTGGATTTGTAG